TGCTGCTGCTGCTCCGCCGCCGCCCAAACGCCGCTTTTCCGCTAACGCTTTTCCTTCTTAACTCTTCCCCGCGCTTTTTCTCTCTTTTCCCGCGCCCCAGACCCGAGGTGGCCCCCTGAACGCCCCCAAACCCTCCCGCCACGCCTCCCTAGACACCCCAGACACCCCGCAACCCCCAGCCCCAGACGCAGCTCCCCAAACCCTTTCTGCGGCTTGCCTTTTCCTTTAGCTCCACCTAGTACTCCTTTTCTCCCCTAAACTGCTTTTCCTCCCGCTTTGCCACTCCACACCCCCGCCCACAGGCCCCCCTGCTGCTGCCCTGCTGCTGCTGCTGCTCTGCTGCTGCTGCTACCCTGCTGCTGCTGCTGCTGCTCGCCTCGCCCCCGGTGTGCGCGCAGCCGCTCCACAAACCCTCACCAAATTACACGCACCAAACCCAAACCCTCAAACGAACCTAAACCCTAAACCCTTCGCAAACCCAAACCCTAACGCCGCGTCCTCCTTCCCCGCGGGAACCCATAACCGCCCTCCCACTACCAACGACCCCTCCATCGGGAGCGCGGTTTGGGGTTTACGGCCTACGGCCTGCGGTTTAGGGTTTAGGGTTTAGGGTTTAGGGACTGCGCTTAATGCAGCAACCTCACACGCCCCAGTGATATGCTGCCCCTTACGCAGCGCCTTGCTGCGGCCAGAGACGGGGCCAGCCGAACCCTGCTGCTGCGCCAGCAGCAGCTGCTGCTGCAGCAACAGCAGCACAGGTGCCAGCTGCCGCGCCAGCTACAACAATGGAAGCAATGCGTAACGCGCAAGCAGCTGCAGCAGCAGCTGCAGCAGCAGCAGCAGCTGCTGCTGCTGCGTCGGGGCCTCGCAACGTTCTCCCGCTTCAGTCGGCACCCACCAAATCCAGCAGCAGCAGCGGCAACGCAACCACCAGCAGCAGCAGCAACGCAGCCAGCAACAGCAGCAGCAGCTGCTGCTGCTGCTGCTGCACGGCATAGCCGGTTCTCCCGAGGGCCTGCGGCCCCGCAGCAGCAGCAACGGCAGCAGCAACAGCAGCAGCAGCGAATTCCTTCTCCTGGAAAGGATATGCCGCCGCTGTCGCTTTCAGAGGTTTGTTTTGCTGCAGTGGAGTTTATAAAGACAAAAAGAAATAAAGTAGAATCAATCATAACAAATATATAAACAAATAAGTAAACAGATAAATAAATAATCAAAACAACAATTCAAATGCAGTTTAATTAAAACAAACAAATAAATAAAAAGGCAAGAAGGGACAGACGGAGCTAACGCCAGAGCGGAGGCAGCAGCAGCAGCAACAGTTTCTCCTGCTGCTGCAGCAACAGCTCTTGCTGCTGCTGCAGCAACAGCTCTTGCTGCTGCTGCAGCAACAGCTCTTGCTGCTGCTGCAGCAACAGCTCTTGCTGCTGCTGCAGCAACAGCTCTTGCTGCTGCTGCAGCAACAGCTCTTGCTGCTGCAGCAGCAGCAGTTAGGCAGCCCGGTTGGCTGCTGCCTCCTTAGCCCTTTTGCTTCGCGAAATGTCTCTTCCCCCGCCGCACAGTTGTCTCCTCAAGCAGCTGTCCCCATTGTCTCCTCGTTGCTGCTGCTGCTGCTGCTGCTGCTGCTGTAGGCTTTGTACCTCGCCAAAGAGGGGGGCTGCTTCACAGTCAAGGAGCTGCAGAAGATAGTCCTCACGGCCCCCTCCTTCTCATCAGTCAGCAATTTGCTGCTGCAGCACTTGCTGCTGCTGCTGCTGTAGTGGTGCTGCTGCTGCTGCATGTAGTGATGCTGCTGCTGCATGCACTGCTGCGGCTGCTGGTGCATTGCATATATCGCTGCTGCTGCTGTTTCTGGACGTGTTGGCGCTGCTGAGGCCGCTCGCGCTGCTGCTGCTGTTGCTGCTGCTGCTGCTGCATGGGCTGCAGCTGGCTGTGGGGTGTATGTACACCGCAGGACTCGTCTCCGTTTCTCCTCGAGAACTTCTTCAGGTCTCTGGGATCGGACGATCCCAACAATCCCAACGATCCCACCGATCCCAGCGGGGAGACACTGGAGACCGGAGACAGTCCCGAGGAGACACAGACAAACTGTGAGCTTGTGGGGTCTCTTGCTGCTGCTGCTGCTCTGCTGCTCGCTGCTGCTGCTGCCGCTTCCTCTCCTTTTCCCCCCTTGTCTGTCTCTTTATTGTCTCTTTATTTTGTCTCCTTTTGCCTCTTTAAGTCCCTTATTTGTCTCTCTTTTGTCTCTTTTATCTCGCCTTTTGTTTCCTTTTTATTTTTGTCCTCCCGCTGCTTCCCTTCTGGCCCAAACCCTAAACCCTAAGTTAGCGGCTCAAAGCCCGAGACCCGTTTGTGCTTTGGTGCTGCGCTGCAGCAGCTGAGCCAGCAGCAGCAGCAGCAGCGGCAGCAGATGGGCTGCTGAGGGCTCACGTGCACAGTTGCTTCGACCCGGAGAAGCGAAAGGCATGCCGAAACCCTAAACCCTCGCTTCAAACCCCAAACCCTCGTTCCAGTCCCCAGACCCTAAACCCTCATCTCAAACTCTAAACCCGCTTTTCAAGTCTTAAACCCTAACTGTGGCAGCTGCTACTTCCAAAACCCCTACTCGACAGTCTAAACCCTAAACCCTAAACCCTCGCTTGACAGTTAGTCCCCCACCTGCTGCCTTTTCAAACCCAACCCCTAAACTGCAAACCCTAAACCCCAACTTGCAAACCCTAGCCCCCAAGTTGCAAGCCCTAAACCCTAGTTTGCAAACCCTAAACCCTTTTTTGGCGTTTCAGACCTTCGAGCACGGCGGCCGCGTGTGGCTCTGCACAGCCATGGGCCAGGGGACTCGAAAACGAGCAGCAGCAGTCGCGCTGCTGACGCGGGGCACGGGACAGGTACTGTCTCCTTTGGGATCGTGTGGGATCGTGTGGGGTCGATCCCGGGATCGTGTGGGGTCGTGTTGCGTCTATGGGAGTCGCGTCTGTGGGATCGAGCTGGCTGCGCTGGGATCGTGTGCGTGGGCGTGTGGGGTCGCCCGTGTGAGTGCTGGGATCGTGTGGGATCGTGTGGGGATCGCCGGGGATTGTGTGGGGACCCTCCGGGACATCGTGGGATCGCCTGGGATCGCCTGGGATCGTGTGGGATCGTGTCAGGTTCGGGTGTGCGGGCGGGAGGAGGTGTACACGCGCTGGCCGTACGTGTACAACCGCATGGAAGTGCTGCAGCCGCTGCTGCTGGCAGCAGCAGCAGGCCTCTTCGACGTGGACATTCAAGTGCGGGGGGGGGGCCCCTCGGGGCAGGCGGGGGCTGCGCGGCTGGCGGTGGCGAGGGCCCTCGTCGCGGCCTGCGAGGACTGCCAGCCCGCCCTGCAGGAAGGTAAACCCTAATTTAGGGTTTGGGG